TCCCAGTGAGGGGCTTTAAAATACCGGCCAAGAATCTGGCCAAATCATGCGGTGGGGAACCTATTCTGTCTACTATCGGTCTCACCGGGACATTTGGTTTATGGATTTTTGGAAGGCCATAAAGTCGTGGTTGGATTGCACTTTTGGGGTACAGTCGATACCAGTTGCCTTGCCCTAAGTGGTTTATCACGGACCGCAAATATGCGCAAATATGCCCGAATAAAAACCACCGATTGTTTACCAAGCTGAAATGAAATGTGCTATTTTACTTTTTCTTACAGTATCCACGCTCCTTTCCCCCGTGGCCAAGACAGGTGGTGACCAACAGAGCAGTCACCTATCTGTTTACCAAGCTCTTCTGAAATGTGCTATTTTACTTTTTCTTACAGTATCCACGCTCCTTTCCCCCGTGGCCAAGACAGGTGGTGACCAACAGAGCATTTTCGTCACCTATCCAAAACAGCTGGACCGACCGTCGCAGCTGCGTGGATGTGTTCAGACCTCATGCGTGTTATGCGCGTCTGACCCACGACTGCGTGTACCACGGACACAAATAAGAGATATGATAATGCGCAAAATACAATGTCAATTTGCTCGCATCGGAGTTCACTGATTGGCTTCAAATGCGCTGAAGCAAATATTGCTTCGCTAGCACGCACACACAGTGACCGCACATGCTCACAAAATTCAGTATTTTCCTTTACGAAAATATACTGCGATATCTCGAATATCCTACTAACTGAAACAAGAGGCGGCCTTTGTGCAGCATATTCACAAGAGATTCAGGAGAGTCGCCCGTGAATACTAAACGGATTTGCATAAGAGTATATCTGCCGAATTGCATGCAGTTTAGGTTCAAGTGGAACATAACATAAGGGGAAATCGACTGAATGCTTATAACCCTCCTGTCATATCCTGGGCGTTTTAGTAAGTAGTATATCACATATGTGGTGGATGGTTGTATTTCCTGCTACGCTTACCTTGTTGCGTACTTCGGGGTTTGCACCGGCAAGTAGAAGTTCACGAACCGTTTTGAGGAACCCGTGTTTCGCGGCAATATGCAGGGGACTGCATCCATCCTTTCAGCCAATAAATAAAGGAAGCACATGTTCAACAAGCTTTGTCATCATCATAATGAGTTTGTAGAAAACAAAGAAAACGACCCTCGAGATCCTGTAACAACGTTAAATCGATATTTGCGCTGCATACTCAAAACTACACCTAAATTACTTTGAGGCGTGCTGTGGTTGTTGGGGAGTCGATTCCTTCACAAGCCAAACTAAACCAAATGATTGGCTGGTCCGAGTCACGTGATCTACACCACAACATATGAATACATCATACGAGACCTAGCTGCTTAGCAGAGGTTTGCCCCACGAGGCCCCTGTAATTCGGTGGGCAGGTGGGGTAGGCTTCTGTGCAGGGTCCTACTGGTCCACGGTTCGAATCCGGGCGACGTCGCCCGACTTCTTTTCGACTTTCACCGTTGTCACGTTTCTTCATAGGACACTACTGCTACTGCTGACAGACTGGTACAGCATAAAATTTGGTTAGCTAAGATCAAATCAACTTAATGTTCTGAGTACATACATATTCAAGACTACAGTTAATTCCGAATCGAGATTTCCAAAAACACAGATGTCGAGGCCCTGCCAAGCTTTTACTGGAAGAAGCGATGTGGGTAGTCAGAAACATGTGAAGAAGGGAAGGTCGATGGAGGGCATTTTAAGGTACGTAGATACATTTTGTGATATTAAGTTTATCTATTCATTTTATCAACGTCACATTTCACGCGCAAAATGAGAGATCTACGGGAGTGAATTCTTTAGATTGTTTAATGCCATTTTCTCGCTCACACTAACAATCCATTTTCCTTAGTCTATGCGCCTCAACAATTTAACTCGTTTTTTTTCTGGGCTAGTGCACAAAAGCACTTTGAATGCGCGCGCTTCCTGGCTTGTGCACAACTAACCAATCAGAATGCTGGCTTGTGCATGAATCGCATGCCTGGCTGTTGTCCGTTAAAATTCTTGACTATCAAAAGTACTGCTACAACCTTGACCTAGTTTTAACTACTAGCCAATGAGCACCCTTCGAGTCTTAGTTCATAAGGTGATGTTAAATGGTACATACTATAAAATACGTACCCAAACTGGATACAAAAGTGCACAGTGCTAATGCCAATTCTTTAGGAAATGAACTGTAGGAAGTGGAAAATGTTGACGTGCTTAGAAAAGACGTCCTTTTCGCGTTCAAGGTCCGTTACAAACCTTAGCCAAAGTGTTTATTGTCAAAGTTTCTCGAAATTGGTAAAAATACTACACCGCGGATGAAACGCACTCAAGCACAATTATACATTATGTCTTCGTTCGAGATAAAACTGAATGCCAAGCTTAGAAACAGTCAATCGCAATCATAAAATTCAGGTGCGTACAACGCTCGATCTAAACGGTCTTTACCCGAAAAAACGGCGTACTTGATTCACACCTGTCCAGAGAATCGTATCAATATGAATCACAACTGCAAAAAGGTGACATTAGAAAGGAGTGAAGTTCCTGGTGGCTTGGCTGTTAGCTAGGATCAGGTAGTTTCCATGAGAACTTTACAGTGACTACTTAATAACAGCGAAGGCATCCGATCGATACCAAATTTCAGTTAACGCTTTTGGTCCGAAAAGGACATCCCGAAACTGTCCACCGTCGTTCGTCCACTCTCCTTAGCTGCATATATTTTCGTCTTGTTGAGAGTCGTAGGGTTTCTGAGAAATCCTACCAAGTTTGATGGATAGTGCTTAAAATCACTTCCAGACACCGTCATCCTGTAGAGGTCACTCGATTCAACTTCCATGATTATAGAGCTCTGGCAGCACCCTGGAGATGTGAACAACTGGGAAATGCCTGACATCAAAAGAATCACGTCTAACTAGACGAGCAGATTTGAATTATTTTTCGTTAGCCATTTACTCGGCACTGTTGGCATGCAGCACGCAATATTCAACCGAGCTTGTAAGTTTAGCTCAAAATTTAACCTTTTAGGTACCACTTTTGAACTCCGGTGCAGCGCTTGAAATTTGAAGCTGTTAGACCAAACTACGGGAAATCACGAGTACTTCGGTTGGCATTTCGGGACGGCGGGTAGCCAGCAGTCAGCTACGGTTGACGGTGGTCCATAGCCATCAATAAGAATCATATATATCAGATATACAGCCTTAAAATGAATTACTGTTATCTTACAGGCATAGAAAAAGCTGACGTTTTTCGTTCAATAGTCCGTTCTATATGGCCAAACTAAAGTGTAATATGCAGATCGCCTGCACGATAATCGACTTGAATCTGATAGCTTGAGAAGTTTCTGTTGAAATGACATCATTCAAACAGGCACAAACTTTGCCAGTGAGATTCGAACCCGTGATCTTGTGTTAGTAGATGAAGGCTGTATCCTTCGTCCATCAGCGGGTAGTCGACAATATGGGTGACTTCAGTTTGGGCTGGCCGAAGTGCCACAACCCTCGAATTACACAGTCTAAATCACTTTATTCGGTATTGACTGATTCCTCAACCAATAACTTCCAACTGCTGGGATAAAATTTCACATACTAAGTGATGGTTTTTTCTTAGTATCGATTACCATCTGTCAATCAGTTCGACTGCTGTCCTACGGTTTTTTTAACAATGAGCTACCGAAGAGGGATGAAAACCTCAGAGCAGTGTTCTTGCCCATTTACACCCTGGTCAAACCATTGGTAGTCATCTGCGGATTTCGAGGATACATAGTAAAACAAAACTTTTTCGGCAGTTGGGAATGTGAAAGTTTGAGTTGAAATTTCATCCTGTGATTCAAGTCGGTTTACAGGTGACAGTAACATAGACCTATACGGCCGTTTCATCTTCATTGCGAACTTCACTGATTCCTTGGGTGGTTCAATTTCTCAGCTTTTCCGTTAGCAACTGTGATGTATGCCATTTGGCTACTCCTGTCTTATCAGCTACTTCGTGAACCTTTCTGCGGAGAAGTTGCTACTTGCGGAACCCGTCAAAACGTGACCATACAATGCAGATGGCATGAGACTGGGAGATGAGTGGTGCGACATACTACTTAAGTGTTAGTCAGTCCCGTTGCTGGTCATCCACCCATGGCTGAATAGCTCAGGATCAGCCTAATACACGAAAAGTCGAGGGTTTCAATCCCGCGAGAAATATGCACAACTAATAAGTCCACAAAATAAGAACCTGTGCACTTATTCTGAGCCTTTCAGTGTAGAAGTGATAGCTGAACTTGTCACTTTAAAGAGATCCTGAGTTTTAGATCTTTGTAGGTTATCGATAAAAGGCCAGCTGATCAGTCGCCTGAAACTTAAATGTCGCCATTCGCCATTTACAAGAACAGTGCGCTGAAATGAGCCTTATAAGCAAAAAAAAACAATATTGAATGCCATATCTTTTTCACCAAGAAGGTACAAAGAAGAACCAAGGTATACACAATCTCTGTGTGTACAAATGAATGTCACATATGAAATGATTGACATTAGTTCGGCCTCAAGATTACACTTCCCGAACACCGAGTGCAGATAACGAAGCAAATAGATGAGCGCTATTGAAAACACTCAGTGCTCTCAGAATATGGATTTTTCACTCACCGAGTTTAAACTGTTCAATTCCATGGTGTGCTTGCAGATGAGTCGTGTCATATCTGGGTCACCGACAAAACAGGCCACATGCAGTGCCGTATTTCCTCTCTACGGTTGAAAAGAACGCCAGTTTAGCTGACAGTGCTGTGTGATTGAGCATAGAAGCAAGACTGGTGTGAATGGAAACCTAATCAAGCAACGTTGGGCATTGTTGTGTGGTCAATCCTAACGCGTTTCAGAAGGCTGTTCCAGGTTATAGTGAATTGTGGAGTCGGTAATTCAACCACACACTACTGACCACAAAAAAGCGATAGTGTAAAGATGTCCACAGAAGCTTGTTTTAGATAGCCATGGCCTTAGAACACACTCCGGTCTGATACAGTCAAATCTGATTGGTTGGTCGATGTGAGTGCCGGAGGCCCTAAATACAACCGCGTGAATTGTATGGTGCACAATCTGATCCAGTCAACCAAACCAGTAGTATCGCTTTACCATACGGCTTCAACAGTTCTAAGATAGTTTTACGTGGATTCTTTTAGAAGATAAATGCCAGGGTTTTCATTTCGATTCCTCGGGCATATACCTCGGTTATGCAGCGAAAGACCCGGTCTTTTGACCTCCACTCGAATTGTATTGGTCACAGAGCAAATGGCCGATATCCCGATCGATGTGCTATGTCTTCGTAACTTCAAGGTCAAAACTGCTCCTTTCATACATTCGTGTGCTAACATGCGATACTTCTGTGATTATATCACTTCGCTTGATAGGTCAGAGATATTGAGAGAACAAATTTGAAGAAGTCCCGTTTTCGTGGAGTCGCAAACGAAGTGCCAGGCTAGGAATGGTGTGGTCGGTTCCAGAAAGTTCAGTCAGTCAAGCTACTTCGTTTTTATGGTGTCGGTAAAAACATGATTGAATGCTGTCAACTGTGAGCTAATCCAGTCTCAGCTAAACCTAAGAAGCTTATCTAAAGCTTCATTGGTGAAAGAAAGGTATCTGTCATTCCTTGGTTCATCACTGCAGTCAGGGTTGCTGACCATTCTTCGACGACCCACTGAAGGTTCTATATTTCTTTCTATTCATCATAGAGGCTTAGTCTCATCAAACATATTTACAAATTGAACCTGAAGTTCAACACAGGTTTGGCCATACATCCATTTGAAAACTGACTTCGTGTTAACAAGGTGATCAACTGAATATTAGCTCAATCTCGGTTCTACTAACCTTCATTAGAATGTGCTGCAGAAGGTCCAAGTGGAAGCATCAGTCAGAGGCTATTAACACAGTTCCACTGAAGGTTTCAATAGAAAATGATCGGAAAACAAACAAATACCCTCTCAATGAGACGTCATCGCTTCTTGATCCACCAGTTTCTTCACACCCGTCTGTCAATTTTTTGGTATTTCTAATGCGTTTGATCGAAGCAGCTCGAACAGGATCTGTCACTCTCTCCCAGCAGAAATCAATTTACATGGTCTTGTGAGATCATTGTGCGGTTCACTTATGGTGCTAGTCTGCTAATGAAATTCAGTCAATCATTCGTGACTGTCGAATAATTTAAATTAATTCTTCAGCTGTCGCACCCTTTTGGTGCCCAACTGCCATGTCACCCGAATGTAGCACGAGGGTTGGGATACTGCTAGCCAGATTACCCAAGCCTGGACAGAGGAAATCGAATGGCGGAGTTCGGGTTCAGTAAATTCGCGCTCGAACCACTTGGACCATCTCACCTCCAATTTATATTAAACAATGAATCCACATTGAGCAGCTTTCATTTTAACTTCTGGCGCTCGACACGTGTTATCGCTCAACATCATCTAACCTCATAATATATTGATGTCTAGTGACCTGGTCATTCGGGCCAGCCAAACATGCGTCACATACGCATCAAGTATTATCTTTATCAAGCAGATAAATCATGATTTTTTGGGTTTTATGGCATAGCCCATGTGATGGACATCTTTCAAAAAACACCATTGCAGTCCAATCATACCCCTGTGTTCATTTAGGGTTGAAATTGCTTTCGTTTTTTTTTCAATGTAAGGACTTACCCTATCACAAGTATCCGTCCGAGCACCCCAGTTCATGAGTTCCGCCGCGCATGCGTGCTGTTGGTTTTCGATCGCCCACAGTAGCGGCGTCTTCCAATCCTGATGTGGGTGGATATAATATCACGGATATTAATTTACTGGTTAAGTGAATGACACGTGATCAGCTGATATCTGATTGAACCCACTCTGGTCAGAATAAACCTCTTGAATGCCCAAGTAACTGCGACTGAACTGATTGTAGATAGTTTACCAAGACTAAGAAGTTCTTTTGGAAGCGAACGCAGATTCCAATGGTAGCCAAGTACATTTTAAAAGGTGTGCTCGAAATGGCACAAGTGATTGTACGATTGCATCTACTCTATTCCAACTTCGTTCCTCTGTTTGTATAGAAAATCAACTAGCTGACACAAACGAAGAAGGTAGATCTGATGACCTGAGATGCAATCATTACTGAAGAACTTGGCGACCAATCAAATGAGGCTGTAAAATGTACTTTGCATCGAGGGGTTGAGTCAACTACAGGACGTTTTTATCTCCAGGGTCTCCTAAATGTCCTGTTGCCAAATCCTCTTCATCAAACCAAAGGTCACCTCCGTCCGGAGTGGAGTACAAGTTAAAACAGTGCCAGACTGACAGACAGACAGGCAGGCATACATACATACATACATACATACATACATACATACATACATACATACATACATACATACATACATACATACATACATACATACATACATACATACATACATACATACATACATACATACATACATACATACATACATACATACATACATACATACATACATACATACATACATACATACATACATACATACATACATACATACATACATACATACATACATACATACATACATACATACATACATACATACATACATACATACATACATACATACATACATACATACATACATACATACATACATACATACATACATACATACATACATACATACATACATACATACATACATACATACATACAGAGAGACAGACAGACAGACAGACAGACAGAAATACTGGTTAATTGTCAAGCCATGCAATTATGAGAACATTTTTCAGCCAAGGAACAGCGAAGAATAGTACTTAGTACATGGTGTAGACATTGTGAAACTGCCAACCATCAGTCAGAGGACACTTCGCATATACTTCACCCATGTATCAATGAGTTAATGCCCTGGTCTGGTGACACGAAGTTTTGAGCACTTTTCGAGTGAGTCACATCGAACAAAGTCGCTGAATCTGTACTGAGGACAGGCTTCCGACCAGCCAGAATCCCAGTTGGGGGCTGTTCTGAAGTTTCCGAAGTTTCTCGGGTGTCCAAATAGTTATTCGTATTTTCCATGTCAGATGATAACAAATCCATTGTTCGAATCCATAAAGTATGGTCTGGTAAGTCGGTCCAAAAAAAATGAAATGACGTTGTTAGACGAAAATCCGCACAACCACAGTTATAGAAATTCATATTCGGCAACTTTGTAGGCTTCGCTTTCCGGAGTGTTCACAGTGTTTGAATGGCGAAACTGTACACCTGAATTGGAAGAATTGAACATGTGAATCTCTGTTTTGAATAAACGAACTAGTAATTGCACTGATAAATCACCTCCAGGCCAGACTCTCCAAGCGTTTTCTACAATCAGACACGGCCAACCTCGCCTTAGTCTGAACAGTAAAGTACACAGAAAGCCGTTGCAAGCACTAACGTAATTACCTGAAGAACAGACATTGCATTGCTTATTTAACCCACCGGTACTTCTACCAGTCAGGCACCGACTGTTCATAATAACTCCTTTTGTGTTGGACGCGCCATGAGTAGCATAACTTAACTTTTCAATAAACAATGGTATCACAATAGATATGCATTGATCTGAGGACAATGTGCAGAAAACCGTCTGTTTGTCAATGTGTCTTCTCGACAACACATTTACTAGGCGTGAAAGTCCCGTAGAAACTGTCCGTTTCGGTTCAGCCTTCAGCTTCCTTTGAAGCTTGTATGGTCGAAAGTTGATTACTATTGTTGTAACTGGTTTGTCACTGAAGTAATTTCGTATGACCAGATAGCTGGACACAAAGTCGTACACAAATCCAGCAAGCTTGAAATGACCCTGGATATCATGATACTTTCTGGTTTTTCTGCCTGTCACCCTAAAGAACCCGAGATCAAGTAAACGAATAACCACAAATCTAGTTTTTGCATCTCATTCGTTCACCGAGAGACTGAGTCCCGTACGTTGTTCTGAATAGAGATTTTTATCTCCTAAGATGCTCATTTTGCCATCCCCGTTCCAATCTTTCGCGGATTCGCAGATGTAAAGCGCCACAAAATGTCTACTGGATATGGGAAGTTTATTCGAGATGTCATCCGGCAAGAACGTTCAATCCATGTCAAACGGCTATTAATCACTCTGCAGGGGTTTCCTACTTAGTAGGAGCATACATCTTATAGATCTTCAGGGTCGTTTGCTCTAGAGACCTTCTTGACAATGGCTTCCTGGGTTCCAACTACAAAACAGATGACAATCGGTCCTGGTCTTCCCATAAGCTGTGACTTGCGCGAGGTGGAGAACAATGATTGTTGGTCTGTGAGGCTAAAGATTACCTTGGAAGCATAGGGTCACAATGGCACAAAATTCTTTACAATGTGTTTGATTCAGACCACGTTCACAGCTGATTAGCCACGGACCCTATGAGGTAAAATATAAGACTATTTTATGTACCAGCTAAGTGAACCGAACGGCACGAAGGTTCGTGAAGACCTCATTTGGAATATGGGAAATTCTACGGGAAATGTGGATTGCTTCACTCCGGCCTTTGACGGCCTCATTGCTCAGGCTTTCCAAGGTATGCAGGTAACTGAAAGCACTGTCCAGTTTCACTGAAAACTAGTGGACTTTTACGCTCGGATCCGGAAAACACTTTCTGTGTGAATGGAATTTTTGCCCTCTGATCGGAGCTCATTTATGCCGGAAAGTTACGTAGCGCGGTTGGGCTGTTCCATCCTTGTTTGGGCCCTTTAGTAGTCCAGTGAATCCAATACATAATAGATAATAATCTGGCCGACTGTTGCACCGTTTTGGCCTGTTGCACCGTTTTGGTCCTTAGCAGCCATGCCATTTGAGGGAAGCACGAGGGCTGGAACGCGCACGGGTCACCCAGGCCCAGGAGGAAGCAGTCGAGATGCTGAGATGAGGTTCGAACCACGAGCCTTCCGGTCAGTAAGTTCTCCCATTAAACAACACCTAGACGTCTCAAGCTCAACGTATCTACTGCATCTCCTGGTGGAATCAAACGAAGTTTGCACTGAATGCTGATAATAAATTTCCAATCAAATTGTCATTTGTCCAAGTACCTTATACTCGTGTTTTATTTGTCCACACTTTGATAGAAGGATAAAAACTGTCCAAACGATGAAGATTTCAAATTCACTCATAATTCTTTGTTTTAATTATATTCACTCTAAATGTAAAAACATAATGTGCATACCTTGACCCCCCATAAAGAGTGAAAATCACCGAGGTTTCGCAGGATTACTTTCCGCCTGTTGATAATAAGCAGACTGGAGCATCTCGGTGGAGATTGAAGCCTGTCTAAAAATAGAGGCATTTTACAGCTTTTTCACCCTTGTTCTGACGTACCAGTTATGCGCACCTTATGAATAGTAGTTTTCCGAGCTTGGTAACTGGATGAGGCTAGACACAATGCTTGTTATGTGTCTTGCAATTTGTTTGTCGATTCGAAATGTATCCTTGGTCTAGGTTCCCTCTAACTGTCGGTGACTTGATGGTACTGTCCTTTGCAAGTCACCCACAGTAGCGTAGGAGAACGCAAATTAGTTCCACGTGTGTAGTAGCCGCTGAGCTGATCTTCTGACATCAGAATAACCACCTTGTGATTGTTTGTCCTAAAAAATTTTCACTGAAACCTGAAACCCCGTGAAATTTCATTGCCTACACCCTTGGTTTGTTTAAGCGTGACTGACATTCTAACATGAAAGCAGCCCCTCGGCGTTACCACCAACTCTGGTCAAATTTAACGGAAGTATTCTGTTTTTCGGCGGGAAAATGTATGTAGCTTGCTTTTCCGGACCTCGCCCACGAAACTTTATTGAACCCTTGAGTTCAGTGTCTTTATATCTAAATGGCACTTTTGCAGGCCTCAGGCCTAATCGTCAGGCGACAATGAACTGGTTCGGCTTTGATTTACTCGCTCTTTCAATGTTGCCTAATCTGTTTTTAATCTGATGACAACATCTATCGTTTATATGAAGTATGCCCCATGAATCTCCAAAGGTACTTCTGCAGATGTATTCAGTATACTCCCAAGATCTATTGAAGTTTGCACGGGAAATTGTAAAAAATCGACCACACTGAAGTACCTGCGCGAAAGTTAGTGGGTTTCGCGTAACTCTCAATGTCTATCACCTCAAGTCTTTATGGCTTAGTAACACGACCGTGAAAAGCACTTGAACTCGTGAAGGAAATATTACTTAGCTCTATTGGCTTCCGTGATTTTAGTCAGCTTGCTTTTCGGATTCAAGGATTTGCTTTCTTGAGCGGGTGTTGTGATCTTGTTAATATCGACGTCCTTTTGGTGATCCTAACGTCAATCAGAACCACACTGTGGGTATCTCCGTAGGACAATGTACCGACGCACAGAGACGGAGCAACAAACAATAGGGTAGCAGAGAAGCCAATCGGGATCAGCGAATGCACGAAAAACACAAACCACGTTGAAAAAAGTAACAAAATTCCGATTTATGTACCTTGAAGTTCAAAGTGTTCTACGGAAAGCCAATGTATATTTTACTCTTAACTCCTGCAGCTGTCTACCCAGCTCAAGCGAATTAGTTACCTGCTGTTTTCAGACACGTTACGGGATTTCTGCATACCCCAACGCATCAAAAAGTGGACTATTCCGGGTCCTTCCGTGGACTACACGACAAACAACACCTGGAAAATTGACCAGGAACTCCTTGTGTGATTGGGCATTCACTCAGACCAGGTCGTTGTAACGCCTACAATTCTCGATGCTAGCTCAAGACTCACTCCTGTAAGTCATACCATTCAGAACACACATCACCTTTCCTGGGAAAGGTTGAAACCATCACGGGCCCCATTCACAGTTTTTATAGCCCGGTTTGGATCTGAGAAGAATGATCGATCGTTGTGACAGACAGGAATTCAAAGGAACCTTTGATCATTATTCAAGTTTAGATTTGGTAGGTGAAAAGTATATTTGATGACTCTGCTCCGAAAATTTACTTTGACAGGGAGTCCATTCTAATGAAGCCAACGCTTATCCAATCAATGTTTTACTCGTGGAAATAGTACACCTCTGAAGGGACAAATTGACAGAGAGGCGTAGCCCATGAGTGGACGACAATGAAGTTTTTTCTACCACAAGTCCAGACGTGTGTTAGGACTTGTTCTCAGATGAAGTAGTACACTCACTCGGGCCCACATTTTCTCTCCTCTCTTTCTCAAACCTCAAAACACTATTCCCGTTCTCATCAGTGTTTATACGACAGTGTTTATGTCTGTCACTGCTTCAGTTACCGTAGACAAACGTTAAGGAACATGTGATGAATTGATTAGACAACGTTTTTCTCTCAAGTAGACCATGTTAATAGGTGTGTCCAAACAGGGTAGGCAAAAACACAGTAATTACATTTAAACTTATCAATAGCCCATTTTCTGAAGTTTCATTCCAACCTGAAGGATAGCAAATTGATCTTGGTTATGTTGTTTCATCCGTACTGATGAGAGTGGGATTGCGATAAGGTTGACTCGGGTGATACTGAGGGGGTGGCACAAAAATTACAGTACTGATCAATTGCTCTCGAGTTTTTTTTTCAGAAATACTTGCTGACCGGGAAGTATATGGTTCAGAGGCAGCCTTGGCACCTCAACTGCTCCTGCCTAGACTTGGACAATCTGGAGATATCGCATCCCTTGTAACTTATTCGAATGGCATGGTAGCCATTAATGGAAAGTTTGCCAGACGCTTATAACTAATTCGTTATTACTACGAATGCCTTAGGGGNGGTGCACCCAGACAACTAAATACTACCCAAAACAGCTGCATTCGTTTGTGTGTATTCTAAAAATGAACTACAGAAAACTTAATTAAACATCTGGAAAACATCTGTTGGTCCAGTAAAGCATATCCCCCTCACAGCCGTTATTTTGGGACTGACATAATAGATGTACTTACATGGTCAGTTCCAGTGACATCCAATCCGGCTGTGATGAGATATCTCAGAATTTCCAAGCATCCCGTCTTCACAGCCACGTGCAGCAAGGTTTCTCCAAACTGTAGCAAGAAAGCAGCAAATGGACGAGTTTTTGTTCACCGCACCGAGAACAGTTGGTTAAATAAAAAAAGAGACATCACGCCATAAAAACCCTCCGGGAACTGCAACAAAGACAGAAGTAAACGAAGCAACACTCGAGAAGCGAGACGTCCATACAGACGTCTGAAGATCTCCGATCGATTTTGTGCGGATTTTTAAACTGACCCTAAGGATCTCATTTTCTCAGGTAATCAGAATGACTGTGTACAAGGTTTGTTACGAGGATCGCAATGCTACTTACACGGGACAAAAGAGTAGACAGCTGAGAGTGCGAAAACTTCTACGCAAGAGGCGTGTTTTTTTAACTGAAAACAAGCATCAGGAGCAAACTCAGAAGGCTCAGCCGTTGCTGTACAAGCTCTCGGAGAGAATCACACGGTGTTACTTGATCAAAGTCAACCGGTACAAGTGTTCAGAGTAATGTTGTCTAGGGGCTCTCTGACGACTTACACCCGAGGTGTCAACCAATGCGACGTTCTGCTCTTATCAGCTGTCTGTCCAGGGCCGATCGATAATCAACCTAACCAGGCGCGTGCTGTATTGACCGCAACCCTAAATCCACAGACGTAGGTGAAGCCCTTTGACCAGTCAGATAATGGAGATATCAGTTTGGCTTAGTTCCCCTTGTATATTAAGGACCGAATATTTCCCTTCTGCGGGTTACCGCGCTGTCCGAACTGTTGAGCCATGAACTTCGATACTACTCCATCACAACCAACCATTCTAATTGCTCCGCTTCAGCTGCACCGAATTCGGCATGGATATCCCCAAAATGTACAAAAGTTGCCAAATGAACCACATATTCCCAACGGTACTCCTCCGAAATGAATTCGGCGCTGTTTGTGATCCACAGTGAAGATGCTCGTGATTATAAAGTCAGTTTTCCGAGTGCAACTAACCAAAATTTCGACAACCAATGTTGGTATTGGTCAAGGAACCGATGACCGAGGTTAAACTAACAGATTCAGATGGGTCAATGCCCCATTGTGTGGGGTGACTGACGGGGGTGTCATGAACGTGTGTATCCGCACGTTAGGGTATGTGGACTGCTGATGTCTCATTGGCCTTGGATAGAACGGCCGGGTAGGTGACGCACATCCCTACCTTGACGAGTTGGTGGAAGTCAGATTAGATGATAGATAATTCGGGACAGTCACATCTATTGGCGCAAAGAAGTTGTAACGTGGATGGTTACGGAATAGGTAGTAAGTCTCAGTGCGTCCGCGTTGGGATTTGGCCACACGATACACACAGAATCACAATTGACCAGATGATTCTCAGCTGAAGCATGGAGAGAATTCGTTTAGCCACTGTCCAATTTATTTAGATGAGTAGATTTTTTCGAAGCCGTCCAAGAGTGCCGTTTGTGTTCACTGAAACCACTAGTCATCCAGCGAGATGTCTCAGTGGTTGGAGCGCGAATTCACTGGTCGCAAGGTCCGTGTTTCTGACTTCTGCGCCTCTACTTCTCCCGTCTAGGCTTGGGTAACCTGGCCAGCACTATCCCAGCCCTCTCTCTTCCTTCGGGTGGCTTGGTAGCTAGGCACCGAAAGGGTGCTAAGCTGGACGATTATATTTACTGTACTTTTTCAGGATACGTACAGATACGAGCAGTTAACCTTGCGGGCATATGTTGTAGGCTCGTCAGGGTTGAGTGGATATTTGGTGAGCATCAGCCGTCTTTCTGGCGTGCTGCCCATTTGAGATATTTCGATATGTCAAAGCTTGGTAGCACTGAACCAGCAGCTTCGGGAGAAATCTGCTGACGGAGGATTAGTCTACATTGTCGATGGGGTCACGTTTTGATCTGACTGTTACTGGACGGTTTCAGCGCTTCATCGGTAAACTGCCCTGTTCAGCTGTAGCACCCTTTCGGTGCCTAACTGCCATGCCACCTGAAGGTTGCACGAGGGCTGGGATACTGCCAGGTTACCCAAGCCTAGACAGGGGAAGTCGAGAGGCAGAGGTCGGGTTCGAACCACAGACCTTTCGGTCAGTAAATTCGCGCTCTTACCACTTGGGCCATCTCGCCCTGCATATGCATTCTTTTTAGTGCTTTTCTTTTCAGTTGTTGACTAAAGAGACGAGTCAATGACTCGACACACTTATACTTTCTGTTTCCAATAGAAACGTTATGCTTTCCATAAACGAAAAATTATACCACAAGAATGATCGAGTGGGCGGATCCACCTACTTGATATATTACGTAAAAAATCGAAACTCTGGGTTTGCTGTGGCAAGATGTCTTTTACACACTTTCATTCTTTAATTCACCCAAAGTTCGGTTTTGATGGGAAACCGATTTTAATAGGAAACCAATTGAAAGATCCCCTGCCGGCTGAAAGGACTAGGGACTGTGTGTACAAAATTAACTGCAACGATTGTGCTAAGGTTTATATAGGTCAAACTGCCAGGGAATTGCACACCAGAATTGGTGAGCATAAAAGAAGGATTAACAAGCCACCAAGGAATGCGGAAGAATACCAAACGCTGGTCAAAGACTCAGCGATGGCGGTACATGCCTTAGACACGGGACGGAATAGATCTGGAGCATGTGGAAGTTTTAAGACGGGGACTGCGATTCACACCACAACGGCTGATAGCCGTGGCGGTGGAAATTACTAAGCATCACAGCGTGAATAGAATCGAGGGTGTGGAGCACCCCAACCGACCAAAGGTCACAGCATCCCCCTTACACAACTTTCTTAGCACTTGCTCACCCACACAGACTTACAGAATGTTCAAACGAAGTTCAAGAGGAACCATCGAATGAACCGAATCAGAAGAACTAGACCCTAGGCTGGACCCAAGCACATGTAGGTTTCCCCACCGACCCAACGCTTGTTCAACCACTCTAACACACTAAAATCCCTCGGCCGACACCCAACAGAGAATTAGGTTGACTTAGCTGATTGGTTCTCCTTCCGCCTTAAATCTCGACCAACCTCTAGTCACTTGACCTGACGAAGCTTTTATGTCAAAAGCGAAACGTTGCCCAGCAATAAATCTACCGATTGTCACCAAATTTTTTCGAAAACCGAATTTGTTTTAAATCACTGAATCGTTTGAACGCAATGTGTCGCCAGCTCTACCATTATGTTCTCGTGCTCCGATATTCTAGATTAGCGAGTGCTATCGATTCAGAAGAATTCCAGACTTCCTGTCTGACGGGGGTTGAAACGCTTATTCGCCCAATATGCCAGCCATGTTCGCGTGCACGTTATGACTACACACTGTCATCATTGGTGCCGGACTACTTGTTTGTCTCCTGGCGCTGACATATGCATGCCCGTGAACAGAACAATCATACTTCCCACAGGCATTCGAATCCAGCATGCACGTTGGATTTGAACAGTTTCGATCAGGTGGTACTTGACTCGTCAATCACCGCATCTGTGAGTGAATAAATCTGTCAAGCAGAACCAATACACGCTTTTCGAGGCTGACATCTGGGAGTGGGGAGGATTTTTTTACTGGTTATTTCGAAAAATTGGTAATATAACAATGCAACCATCTATTTCCTGTGCCATATTTGCCGCCAAAAATGACTGTACAAAATTACTGGGCACTATACGCCCAATAACGTACCGTAATGCGTGAATAACCGCGTATGCAAACAAAAACTTTGAGGCAAACAGTCTCGCTGTTTACCCGTGTAAAAGGACGGTATCTTCTAGAATACCGGTTACTCATCCAGGATAATCAACTGAACCATCTGGATCACAGAATCTTGGAGACTGTGCCCACCTGATGAGGTCAAAAAAGGATGAAACCGGTGTTTGGCTGTCAGAGTTTTCAGCAGCCCTATGAGTAGTATGTCCCGTTGAAACAATCTTGAATCCTGTTGAGATTGTACTAGGTGTTTGGTTTTCGCATTTTTCACCTACGGGAGAATACATCTTATTTTTTGTTGTCGACAGCCAGGTGAGCTCATTTGTGACTTATCCTACCGTAGGGCTTCAAAAAGTGCGGTAGAGAAGCACATCCTTAAAAAGTGTAAATTATAACGACAACGTTAAAATCCCTGTTCTTGGTTTTAACTAGTACCGCAACATCCCAAGTGGTTTTTCGTTTGAAGCACATTCATAACTACCCGGATTGGTTTACGGATTTTTGAGGGCAGTATGGATTTTCATGCACCCAACATCGAGTACCGCATCCCGAAATGGATAACAATATGGACTCCCAGGTGTTATCCCGGAACTAGAGGTGTATGAAGGATGGGGAAACGAAACAGGCCGAGGACAATATCGGATACGAAGTGAACAGGGGTTTTATGCGGATCCGCGAGACAAAAGCCTTGTTATCCTTTGCATACCAGCACTTATTCTAAAGACCGAATTTCGTTACAACTGCCTTTCAAAAATTACTTTTTGAAGTCTGACTGCAAAATATGGATATCCACCAAGTTCGGTCAAGTGTATCGACCTCATTCATGATGGATGCGAAGATCCGGTTACGTAGTATTCTCGACTTCGGTTGTCTTCAACATGGACTCTGTGTGCGCTCGACGAACAGAACAAAGTCGTTCTCATGCCTGTCTTCGGTAGCATGTCACTTAGGACCAAAAGAGCCTTAAAACTTCTTCCTTTTTAGAAGGCCTTTTCCACCGGCGCGCGCTGTATCAACACAGTAAATGAAGCACAACCGAGGAAGGAAGATTACCAACCTGGAATTACTGTGTTCACGAAAATTGGTATGGGCAACGGTCACAGAGGTCATCGAAACAGAATATATGGTGGGTGACAATTTTTCGGCAGTTTAAAAACTACGAAGCATCCACCGTGATCGATGAGAACTGCAACTTTGGGTTGGAATGCGTGCTACAGCCCCATCCATACTGATACGGACCATTCAATTGATCGTTGAAGTGATTCACAAACGCGGGCAACACATCCTCTCCCGTTCAGCGGGACTGAACCACAGGAAGTAAAAGCTGTCACCACCTTATTACCAAAACTACTAAAACCGTGCGTGATATGGGGATGCTTCTCGTGATTATCATGTAACGATATTGCAAGGTCATCCGAATAGCAGAAAGTGTATCTTTACTAATGGGCCATCTAATCAAGACATCCGATAATTACTTAATTAAACCGCAAAGTTGCCTGGGATTTAGGCCAATGAGAATGGGTACCACATGACCCCATGTTTGTCTCTGAAAATCGTGAGGTCACATGATTAGGACGCAAATGTGTCAGTAGGCATTACAATGGTGCTTTCAAATTGGAGAAAGTTGTTAGACTTTTATGAAGATGAAAGCAAAGTTAAAATCAGTCTGTCTTTAGTGAGCTGGAATTTATTCAACTGGGGGTCACAAAACAGTTATTCCCCCAACTATTCGTCAATTCAAGCTTGATGTTTCCCAATGAAAATTAGCGAGACTGAACGCAATTAGCCGTTTTCCGAAAAGTTAATCTCGATGTGTCAAAATGAAGGGGGAAATCACGTTGTCCAGAGAAGATGATTGCACGTGCCATCCTTCTGTCATCTTTACCAACTTTTGGCCAACTGGATGTTTCACTTGAGGAGTAGCGGAAGAAGAGTACAGTACGTTTCACGAATAAATCTTTGTATCCAACACGTTCGTCTTAGGAAATGTTAGGTTATGCCTACCCAATAATCGATTATAGGGTGGCAGCAAACAAAAGAACATTGGCGCAAAGCGGATTGGCTTTAAAGATACTGCAGTTACCGAAGAAGGTAGCCATGGTAAAGTTTGCATCGGCCTGTAAGGCGGGTACCAGAAGGCAGTCACATTCATAGACACATCAAGCGCAGTAAATTTCGAAAACAAGGGCTGCCATATGCGCCGTGAAACTTTTGCTCGATGAAAGTTGAACCTAATCACCTGTTTGAATAACAGAACACCCAGAAATAACATAGAAAGGATAAGATGTCCTAGGACTGGCTGCCTCCGTGTAGCCTGTTGTCCAGTGAAAAAAATCCAAAAGGAACGGTCCGGGATTCCGGACGGTCGTGCAAAGCAAGTTTTCCCAAACTGCACTGTCCATTGGCTGTAAAAAAAAAACTTCAGCATGCCCCCTCCCACAATGCCGACAGTCCACCTACTTGTTGTGAAATGCAACTGTCCAGGATACTAGGATTTTTATAGAGTAGTTTGATTCCCTTCTTTTGCGCCAATAATGCTGTAATTTGGGCTTCAAGTGAAGTTGTGTCGACATTATACTTGTCAACTTCAATTATACAGGCGATACGATGTATTACACCTCCTCATGGCTTTAAAAATCAATCGAAAGTCAGCGGTAACTGTATAAACCTGGAGTTCCACAGCAAAGACTCTAAACACATTTCTGACCTTCAAAAATGGATCCATTCTTACTCATCTAATTCATCGTCCGGAGTGATTTTCTGTCTGATCTGATGAGATCGATATCGCATCGTTTGGGTGGATAAGAATCCTGCATAAGAATTCTGCCGAATGAATACGATCATGACTCCAGGGGATCTGTCGTAGTCCGACGAAAAATCGAGGCCATTCTGTGGAAGCAGCAACTTAACGGTTTTTTAAACGGCTTTGATTGCATGCTAGATGAGCTTGCTGCAGAAAATTCCGGAAGGGGGACCATTTACGTAGTGGGCTATGCTCGAAAAATTTCCTGTCACATTTGCAATAATGACCAACATCCGAAACGTCGTGTGAGACGGACAGGCTTGCCTGTTCAGGTCCATCTAGCCCACGCTGGTGGGGTATGAGTAACTCTCTAGTCTCACACGTTGCATCTCCGGGTTCGAATTCCGGCACGGGCAGGATTATGGATTGCTGATTGGCTCTAACTTGAGCGAGGCCCGAGTAGTGTTCACCTGTTCAGCGTGGATTAACCGGGATAGGACGCGAATTGTTCAGATGAGGTTGGTGGGAATGCATGGTTCACAAGTGCCGCAACCAACACAGCTGTCAATGTTATACTGGTCGGTAGCACGTGACGCAGTATGCACAGCAAGGTCAAATCACGTGCCGCTCTGACTTGCGCGCGCCATCAAACCGCGACACGGTCCCTGGGCTGCTTGAGTCAGCCGCTGTCACGATAACGAAGTGGTGTGCGCAGTCAGTGTTCACCAGTAAAGTCACTCAGTTTTGGTTGTCTGAACATTCTTCGTGCGAAGTGTAGTGTGCTGCTTACCGACAAAACTGAGAGAACGACTAGCCTCGTCTCAACGTGAAAAGCAGTCTCCACATGCTAAAGAATTTAAATAGCGGTAAAATAAATTCGAAGTTTGACTAATTGATCCCCTTCTTTGTGTCCGGGAGCAATATGTACGGGTGCTAATGATGAACTTGGTTGGCGGCTCACCCCAGAACACTTTCCACGAACTCCATTTCTATGAGGAAACTACACCTCAGCAAATTTTGAACAACCTGAAGACAGACGGTTGGCTCAAAATTTTGAGCCGTTTCATGGAGTGTCGTACTCTTTGTAGTGCAGCCATTTCATCGATTGTTTTTTAATCAATCGGTTTCGTGTTTGTGTCCATATGTTCTGTGTTCCTATCACAAGGACGCCTTGTCTGTTATGGATGTCTAAAGTAGGCTGGTTCGCGACATTCCCTTTTTGTTACCGTCTACTCACGGGATGACGCGAAATCTTTTGTGTTGGGTCTCGTCCCGGATCGTCCGTATTATTGGATTGGCGTGAATGAGACGGTAGTGAGAAATCGGACATTGGTCAGAATAGTGAGAAAGTCCGAAGATAAGACATTTGGCGATGGCGAGAAAAACATATACCCATCTTGGAGGGAGAGGGCTAGGCTCAGGGCCCTTAATTCCACATTTAGAGTAATAACTGTGTAACTGGTTTATCAGTAGGTACTCCTAAACTTTGTTACACACTCGAGATAACGAAATTGTGGGACTCAGTTGTCCGTTTTGAAGTGCTTCCTCAGGTGACCAGTGGGAGGTGAGTGCGATGGAACTGACCTTGAAAATCATGGACAGGCACCAACTGGAAGTAATGAACCTCAAATTCCCAAAGACGGAATCGCATTGGCAAGTTTATAACAGATATTAGCAGGAACATCAGAGACGAGAAAAGCAATATGAGCGCATTACACCACTGATGACGAGAAGTATGATTCATATGACTCTGCTGGGTTTGCGGATCTCAGCAAGCTTAAATCGATGGAATTCGGTACTATCATACGTGCTCCGGAGGAACAATGAGAATCATGAACGGCTTCGCCTCACAAAACAATACACATAAACAAATACTTTCGTTGCATTCTAGAAAATCAAGCGAACCATTTGACTCTTTCTAGGGTAATGTGGATGAGATTCTCAAAGTGGATTCTTCAAGCGGAGACCGTAAAATCAAACTTTAGTTCTTGAACTAAGCAACCAGTTTTGGTGCATGGCTTCTAAAATCTCATGAAAACATGCGTCAGTATGATTTCTACGTGGTCTACGGGAACTCAATTGGGTGAACTCATATCAGGGGGGGGTGGCAACGCAAAGATCAGATAGCAAATGACGGGCGAATGATTGATCATTTGATCTTTTACATCCAAAGTGGTGAAACGATAGGTACAATTCCAAATCATGTCGGAAACTAACCTGACGCTGCTATTTCAGTGGTATATTCAATCTCACAAGCGCGGAAACACATAACAAGAGTAATTCCGCCATCTAGCATACATGGTCGATGAGCAGCCTTTGGGGGAACACCAATAGGGTGGTTCCCATGATAGGGTTATCCGAAAGGATGGCGCCCCATAGATATTTCATAACAATACCGGTTATTATGTAGTATCCCTCGCAGAGAGGCATTCACCGAAAAGCGAACACGATGGATGGTCTCATGCCAGACCAAATTTGACTCAGTTTTCTGACTATTTCTGTGTGAGCAAAGACAGTTCACACAAATACCAAAGAATTCAATATTAAAAGTCTACAATAACTTCAACTCACCTCGCCTTTACAATCTAGCGGTGCCCCGTGTTGCCGTAGGAACAAGATAGGTTGAATTTCACACGACGCAACAGCATTTTCATAAAGAACAAACCAAACCTGAAAAAAGTGTTGCAAAACAAGGTAAGCTTTCACCTCTCGAGGTGTATTGATGAACGTGAGGTTTTCGTTGGGTGAATTAATTAATTTTTTTCCACAAAAATACTGTGTGCATGTGAATAATGCTAGTGATGAGCCCATTCCCCGAATCGACAATCCAATATGGTTTTCAACAAGGCTTTTCATGATATCCAGTCATAAACATGTAGTTCTCAAGCGACTTTGCGCTGGAACGGGGTTTGTTATGGATGTAAACCGTCATAAACTAGTTTTTTTTTGCGAAAACACAGCGCGCTTTGGTTTATTGCCGCGTTCCTATTTTGACAATTTTCCCGGTCCTCACGACCTGAGAAACAGGCATCCTGTAAACCAGCTAGAATGAGTGACTTGGCGAGATCAGCCCTCAACTAGGCACACGCACGTGATTGAAAAAAATGAAACTCAATTTTCTGGTCCAAAATTTGCATTTGTGCTCTGGTTAGCCGGATGACAGCCGGATCGATCGGTCCCAGTCGTGCAACATTCAAGTCCCCTAACCCGGCTATTACAGCCGTGGCCGACAGGACAACAGAACGATCGACCACTAGGCGTGAGTCACCTTCGTCCATTATCTGGGACAACCGAAGCGGTGGCGTGAGCTTGTTTAAATCAAATTGTGCTATCATCGCCGTCTGGTGGACCAGACAGACTTTAAAGACGTCAGGCTGAACTGATATTTTCTGCGCTCGATGATAGCAGCGGCTCATCGTCGTCGCCTAGCAACCTACCTCAAGTACCGGATGGTTGAAGCTCGGTGGGTCTGGTAGCTCAACGAAACGTCTCCATCGGCCGAATACTATCTAGGAAGAGCGTATCCCCTATGATTCCCGGCGTCTGCTGATACACGGGCGGAAAATGATGATTTTCAGAACAAAATGGTTTAACAGTAAGTTTGAATGAGTTATCAACTGGGAATAGCAACTTCTGGTTAGGTATGTTATAAAGGCGTCCAAACATATTATTCTTGTGCGAATTGCGAAGAATCACCGTGATGTTAAAGACCGTTGATCTTGTCATTTTTAGACTGTAAGAAATGTCAATTTGATAATTGACATATTTCGTCATAGCACTGCCCAACAGTGAGAGTGACCATGTGAAAGAACTGTTTAAAAGTTATCAGGAGTAGCAACTCATGTTCACCAGTTTTCTTCGCAGATGAAACGTCTTTCATCCATTTTTCGATAGGCTGGGATGCGCCGGTTTTTTGTGGTGCTTGCCAAATTAAGGTAGAGCCTACATTTACAGGGGATTTGGGGCTGTGCCCACCTGAGAAGCCCCAATAAGGTGGAAACTGGTCGTTGACTGTCTCAGAGACTTCAGCAACCCCATGAGTAGTGTATTGTGTCCAGACGGTTCACTGTTTTAGATCCACAACTACCTGGCTGCCGAAGAAACGAAAGGACATTCTTGTACTGGGATGAACCATCTCGTTAGTATGTGCCTGATCAAACAGTGCGCCTTAGGAAGTCGAATAAGTAATTTCACCTAAATGAGGCAATAAAAAACGACAAGCTTGCAAAAAACATCTTCCGAATTCGAATACGAATAATAGTTTTCTGAAGACCTTATATGAGTTATCCTAAAGACGGACTTCCATCAAGAACTCGGCATGCTCTCTAGTTGGCCCCAATCTGTCATGAAGTAGAAAACAAGTTTTTATTTTGGAGTAGAGAAGGATGTTGGCTGCCTTGGGTCTTCGCAGTCAAAAGAGGAAGTTGTAGTACGTACGTGGAATGAAGCACACATACAAGTGCAAGACTCTCGCAAGCAGTCACGTTCGTTTACACCTTGCCAGGACGGTGGATGGTTGGTCTATGCGTCTGGCAAATCACACATCGCTCACACGTGAACACTTTCGCCCAATCAGACGTGATAAGCCAGCCCGCACTGACTTAGCAGTGGAATCACACTGCCCATTAGATCAGGGTTCCAATACCAACACGGTCAGGGTTGTACATTCCTGATGAGCTCATATAAGAACGAAACTCGATTCCAGTCTGCTTAGTGTGGACCTACCAGAATTATTGTGTCAAGACAAGGGAAGCATCTCTCAAACGAGAATAACGTGGATGTAAATTCTACAAGCCCATCAGCTACCTGCAACTAATCGAAATCTTCAAACCGATTTCAGTCATCCGTGACTCTTTTGACCGGGACGAGCTACTAGGACACTCAATTTGTCCAGCAACAGTGATCCAGTTAACGTGAAGGTTCTCGCGTCTGAGTGATGTGAAATTAAACATTATTATGACTGTAACAAGTTCGTAAAGAGCAAGTTTGCATCTATCGACCCGCCCACACGTGAATATCCGCCTCATCCCCTATGCCATGATAACTGCAACCCAGTGCAGTTATTGTTGCTGTGCTGTTTGTTGGTCTCACTTCAACAACCCAGATAAACAAAACTAGTCTTAGTAGCCATAGGTTATGTTAAAAAGAACTGCCGCAGTCTGATTGTCTCATAGACCCTAGCTTACGATAGTAACAAAATATCCAAACAGTTACTGGGTTTGGCAAACAGTCGATATTTCCTAATTTTTAAGCTCTCCAACTTTTTGCATGAACGGTTGAAAGGCACCCACAATGACTCCTCCCGGTTTCGCCTAGTTTCGTACGCTACACCAGGCAGAACACCTTTACTTCATCGTGGTGTTTTCTTTCAATCACAGATGACTCATGCACTCGACCAATTGGAGTGGATTGGTCCGCGTAAGGGCAACACCTGATTGGACATTATGGCTACATCCCGCCGTATGGTCTTCGTCAGTTAACTGCATTGTGATGGCGATATCGATCACTGAACAGAGGGCGCGTATGCACGTATTAGAGAAAATGAGTCTTGGGAACGGTTATTTGTCACAGCGGTCGTACCATTTTAGTAGCTTCATGTTAATGCCGTGTAGCAGCCAGATAGAAAGTTAGTTTGGAGATTCCGGTTGGTTTGCTGGAGGAACTGCGACGTAACTTTCTGCAGGAACTAGAAAACTCCAATAGACCTGCCAGATACAAAGATTTTGTCATTCACAGTCCTATAGACTTAGAATTTTGACGTTCACGGATTCGAATCAAGTGATATCTCTGTTTCACTTTTATCAATGTCAAGCGCACATGAAACATTCAGTTGGGCTACACACCTCAATCTGTTTGTAGTCACGCAGTGTGGACAGTGTGAAATCGGACTGTCAACCAGGTATCGCCTCCTAAGGTAGTTCCCGAAATGCACATCACATTTTCAGTTAGATTGCGTGAAAATACACACGAGGCTTTACCTGGCCCTTACTGACATTCTTGTGTATTTTATAGAACATCCAAGAGTATTAGAAGGGAAAGCCTCCGGATTCATACTTTATTGCCGAGCTTCAGAAAAATATGTGGTATTAAGCACCGCTTTTCACGAACACATAAGGAATCCTGATTCTGAAACATTGTTTTTCGCTCCTTCTATGACACATGGAAGCAGGAGTTGGAGCTTTTAACGGACGAAAACAGTTTCTGATGAATGTCAATCTGAATAGTTGCTTTCAGAAGAAAAATCTAAGTGAACTCAATGATGCAGCACTACAGCACTGAAGAGGGGGGAAGGCTTCAGTGTTCAACAAACTCACAGTATTCCCTACTTGACGTCTATTACACATTTCGACTTGCTTTGTGTGATGCAGTTGTGGGATCGGGTAGGCCTGCGTGTTGTTTGAATGCACCAAATGCAGCTTTTCTATTGGTCACGAAGGGATTGGAAGACTCGCTCACGTATAAGAAATGTCTATACTTCTGCCAACTGAGATTACTTGGAGGTCAACTAACTAGGAATCTAACTATCAGTAAACCACAATATCGTGTTGGCAAACTGGCCGTTTTTTTATCAGGTTTGTACATGTTAGTCGAAATATTGCTTCCCGAAAGGTTTCGCCTTCAGGTGTCAGTAACTTCGCGTTTAAACGCATGAATACTCAGCAATAAGACCAAAACCATCGTAACCGGTGCCCTCCGTCGCTCAATTTCTTAAAGAATAAGCATGAAGCATTTTTGTCCGCGTTATTCAAACGCATTTTCAAGTAATGAAGTCGATGAAGGCTTCAAAGCTCTCAGTGGGGATTCGAAATCATATCTGTCTGTTTGCCAACCTTGACAATGTCCTGTTAGTCGAAATATAGAGAACATCCAACTAAAAAGCGAAATAACTTTCAAAACGGATATTTGTGCGCTTGTTTCGGTATTTAAAAAAAAACATTTTTGGCCTGTTGGAAATACTAAAATGAGTCCCATCTGAACAGCCACTTCATTTTCAACCCCTCTTCAAGTCAGAAACAATCAGCGGTTTTTGGCGTGCGACGAATTCGCTTTATTTCACTATTTCTGTGCACAGCGATCTTTTTTTCTTCATGAATCGCATAGCAAACACATCAATAATTAGAACGAGAGCGAGCAATTTTCGTTGTTCCAGACACCCTGGGGAGAATAATTTTTAAGACAGCTTCCGTCTGGAAAATGTCATGTTTTATGACGCCTCCCACATGGCAGAACGCAAATGAAAGGGTTTTCCGTATAAAGTGGCTTTTTTTTACCCAAAAACCGGAAAATAAAATACAGTAAGAGGAGATTTTCTCCTGAAAATGAATCGGCAGGACAAAACCTCTATTGAAATTCTCAACTTTCCTCACACCACCGACAGCCCGGTAGCAGCTTGGAGGTAGTCTAATTTCAGAGGATGTCTAAAACTTCTGTCTGAGAGGTCGTTACTAGAGGATCCAGTCGATATCTGACTACCGCTGTGGATTTCATAAATGAAGGATAAATGGAGTTATATTCTGTATAGGTGCGAGTTAACATTACTGCTGAGCAACCGCTCGTGGCCAAGCGGTAAACTGGGATGTCGGGGAATGAAACTACCCGGGGTTTCCTAAAATACACATTGCTGATGATCCCCAATAAGGATGAAACAAATGTACGTTGCTTCTCCCCTATTCAGTGTAACAAGCACTTGCGAGAACCGAGTAGTCAAGTGGTGCAGGATAGAGCCACACCGTGCGTTTAGTCTGACTTTTTAAGATTTCAGATGACAGGAGAAGGTTTTGTTGTGTCCGTTTTAAAGTGTATCACCCTCTAATAATGATGAAAAAAGAAACATGGCCTTAAAAACAAGACTGGCCGCCTCAAAGACCATTGCATCTGGGTTCTTAAAGACAAGAATAGATAAGGTTTAAGCTGATGAACGTTTTTAAGTGAACACATTATCGGTCATCATGCCCAAATCAATAAATGTCAACATGTGTCAGACGAAATTCCCCATGTTGAATACGGCATAGCACTCCACCTGAGCAGCGCGCTGAAGAATGGTGACCATACGTTTCCGTACCAATTAAGAAGCTAGACAAACAAGCCAACTACCAGGATACAAAACTATCTTCAATTGTCTTTCAAATACTTCGACTTTACACTGATTCCTTTTTCATCATTAATGCAGCACCTTTCTTTCTGTGGAACACAGGGAGAGGATTCTTTCTTCTTCTTTTTGGTTGCCTCAGTGAATGAATGGAATCCTCACTTTGGAGAAATACACTCATTTGCAAATCAATTTGGTTCTCACGAGAGACTCAACTGAATCTCTCGTTTATGAAATTCTACGCCTACCTGATGAGCCCCACTAAAGGCGAAACCGGTCGTGGGCTGTCGAGGAGTCCTCAGCAACCTTGTGTGTAGTTTCCTTTATGAAAATATACTGCAATATCTCGAATATCGTGCCAACTGAAACATGAGGCGGCCTGTGTGCAGCACATTCAGTTGTAGAATATCAAAAACGAGAGATTCAACTGGGTCTCTCGCGAAAACCACATTGATTTGCAAATGAGTGTATTTCTCGAAAACATTCCAAGTTGGGTTCAAGTAGAACATAAGGTTG